CGCCGTAGCTTTGGGAAAATCAGCGGAGAAACGCGTGTCACTGAACGAAGAAACCTCGGCCTGGCCCGTCCCTTCCACTCTCAGAGTGACTGGGCCGGGCTGGGGCCAGGGAGAGGATCGCCGGGAAGAGGCCGACTGAAGCATCTCCGCCTTTTCTCGCGCAGTCCCAAGACCTAGGGACCAGACCCCTCCGCAGAATGCGCGCTGTAATCTTACGGGTTGGATGTGTGTTTTAACGACACCAAGGAGACCCCACTCTGCTCCTGCTCGGACAGGGCGCGAAGGTTGCCGCCGTGGGGCTTTGGGAGACTGTATGTGTCTGTGCATCCGTATCACATCTGTAATTCAGGGGGAGGGTCTGTCCTCGAGACGTGAGATACCAGCTGCCCAGGTGCAAGTGTACCAGTGCAAAAACACAGGTATGCACGTGTACAAGGTGTGAAGTTTATGTTTATGGGGTAACGCGTATATATGTGTAATTGTATATGTATATCACGTATCTGAGTAAATGTGGCTCATCTTTTTCCACTCTCCTCCCCTCTCTCTTAGTTTTTTCCTTCCTTTCTCCCTTTTCCCCTGCTTTTCTTTCTCAAGTCTTCCCGCCTCCAATGCTGTGAGTGTGCATATTCTATCATAGGCTGGAGGGCGAGGGGGAACAGGCGGTGAGAGAGGCACTTGTTTAAATCTCTCGTGACAGACATTTGTTCTGATCTTACTCTAGGTCTGAAGGGTAAGTTCTCACCTACCTTCAGCAGAAGTCTGATTGGGACCCAGTTACATCTGCACGCATGAAGCTTCTCAGGGGAAGTCAGTGCTGGCAAAAAAGTCAGGTGTGCCTTTCAATAGTTAATTTAGCCTTGAGAAAAAGTCTGAAACCATAAAGTGTGAGAAAGATGGCCTGTGTTTTGAGTCCTCATTCCCCAAACTTCTTGCTGCTGATGGGGCCAGAATTCTTTGTGGAGGAAGGTTGACCGAATGGATGTCATGCAGGTGTTTGTTAGTGATTGGCATGTCTGGAGTGGCTGACCCAATACCTGTCACCACCTCTTCCTCCCAGGCTGTCCAGTCTCTGAAGAATCTTGAAGATCCCTTAGTGGCCTATGGGCTCAGCATCCACAGACCACCTGCATGTGCTGCCTGCTTCGCACTCAGGCCTCTGATCTGCATTCCGAGATTAAAGGAAAGGAGGACAGGGTTATGGGGCCTCTTTGGAATTCAGCATCTTGAAGATGACTCCAGAGAGGTCAGTAGGGTAGCCTGTTCTGACCACCACAGTGAGAGGGAGCAGGGCTCTCCTAAACTCATCTCAGTAAATACCCTTCTCCACCCACCATGGAAAATATCTCCAAGTAGCTTGCTGGTTTTCTCCCATTACTCCCAACATACAGCAGGACAAGCGACGCTTCACACTCTTTGTGCCTGTTTTCTGACCAAGAGTGCAGGTGTTTTTCTTTGTCCTCGCCGCATGGGTGCCCAGGCTAAGGGTGGGAGTTCAGTTTGGGCTGCTGCAGATGAACTGCAGTGCCCATTGTCCCCCAGGGCCTGGGCAGGGAGAAAAACAGCTGAGACTGGGCCTCACCCTGGGGGGCTACTCTCTCCTCCCCTTCTTTTTTTCTGACCACCCAGGCTGGCTCCCTGTCCCTCTCTTTCCCCCTTGCAGGCATTTCCGCTTCTGGCCTTCAGCAGCCAGGTGTAACAGCATTGTTGTGTGTGTCATCACTTCCCCGAATTCCAAATCCCTTTTCAGCCTTTTAAGGAGTGTGTGTGTGTGTGTGTGTGTGTGTGTGTGTGTGTGTGTGTATTGAGGGGTGGGGATAAAAGAAGGAGTTCCTCTAAAGGATTTTCTGAGAGGGGAAAAAAAAGAAGTCCTGCTCTCCCCAGGTATTGCTCTCTTTGGAAACGGTGGGGAGCTCCTTGGTTTACTTCTCAAACCTCCTGGGCAGGCTGGGGAGGGCGCCTCTTCCCAGCGAGGTCGTAATACCGTCCGGCCAGGCACACCATGCCGAGGTTTGTGTGGGGCCCCAGAGCCGTTCCTTCTCCTCGCTGCTTTGCAGCGACGCGGGGCCCCGGCTTAGTGACCTCCGGCGGTGCCCACCTCCAAGGGCCGGGTGAAGCTCCTGAACTCTCTGGCCCGGTTTCCCAGGGCCCGCAGCTGCAGCTCAGGAGCCGCGGTGCCTCCCGACGGGCTTCCTGCCCGAGCGCCGCCTGCGGACGCGGGGCCGAAGACTCGCCAACCGAGCGCCACCTCCGCACCTCCAAGGCCCCGGCAGCCGGCTCCAGCAAAGCATTTGGCTCGGATGGAGGGAGACACGTTTCTCCCCGCGGCCCGAAATCCTGCATCAGCTGCGGAAGCAGCCCGCACCTTGGGGCCGGCGGTCAAGCCCGGCCAGGTGAGCGGGCCGGGTCCCAGAGGCAGGAAGCGCTGGCCTGGCTTGGCCTGGTTCGACCCGCGCCTCCGCCAGCCGCCTGAACCATGTCCTGCGGCCCCTTTTCCGGGCGGGGCTCCGAACCCACCCCGGGGAGCTGCGCACCGAGCCCGCTGCAGCCCTCTCCTGTGGGTATGGCCTCTGCAGCGCGCACGGTGGGAAAAGGGAAGTCGGACTGTATTTCTTAGCACATCCCCACACAACTGCGCACCTCCACAACTGTCAGCACCACCCGGCCCCAGCCACATCCCCAAGGACTGCAGGTCCCTCTACTCAGGTCACATCCCTCCATCCATTTCTGCTTCAGTCAAACCCATATCACCTTCAGTTCTTCTTCTCCTCACTACTCTCTCACACTCACCTGTTACGTATACTAGCTCGCATTCTGCACACCTTGTTGTAAAGGACTCTAAGTGTCATCACACACACGTATCTCATGACACAAAGTGACCTCTTGGCTCCATGTCTGCAAGGCTGACTCCCAGAAGCCTGTTGATTCTCTGATGTCTTTGGCCTGTGGTTAGGATGACTGAGCAGCCACCCGAATGTTTTTGAGAAGCTCAGGTACAGAGTATACCTCCGATGCCCTTTAACACACACAGGCCACTTACACAGGCTTTATCTCTGTTTTACAGTTGAGCTCACTGCTGCAGTGACAGGCTGCAGCCTGAGATGGTTGCATGGTTCTCTTACACACACACAGCCCCAGGCCCCAGGCCAGCCCGTGTTATTCTGCCTGGCTGGGATTAGCAGAGTCACTTACCCAAATATGTGCTTAGGAGAAAGAGTGAGAGAGAGTAGGGAAGAAGAAAGGGAGGTGCAGGGAGAGAGAGAAAAGAGAGAAAGAGGCAATGCCACTGCCCATTCAGGATGACAGCTGTTTCCAGTTGCTATCTTATTGAATCCCACACACCTCACCCTGTGGTGGCTGGGCTGGGAGGCGGCAGACTAGTGTTTTGAGCTCCTCCTTACCTCATTGATGTTGGGCCTCTAGTCTATCAGCACCTCTTTTCCCCAAGGAGTGTGTGCCCTTCTCTCTGCAAGGCAGACTGCAGGGTAGTGTAGGCTTTTCTCCTGATTGAGCTTAACTCAGGGAGAAAAGGCAGAGGGGGCTGGTTCCTGGGCTATGTGAGGACCTCCACTCTCCAAAGACCTCTGGGATGCTCCTAGAGAAAGAATTCTAGGGTATCAGGAGCTGTTGGCCAGCTTCCTTTGGTATCCCATGGCCATGACTCTCATAACCCAAAGCCATTTTGTTCAGTCCTAAACAGTGAATACCCTGCCACTCAGATGCAACACATGCTTGAGTGTGTGATATATTGTTGTTGCCTTTCTCCACACCCAAACTGTAAGCCTTGATGGGCAGAGACTGTCCTCCACTTCTCACTCAGTGCTTTCCATAAGGATGGGCTTAATGCATTATAGTGGAATTGGAAAATGACTCTGTTCCACAGAGAGAATTGAGAGATGCCACTTTCCTTGTAATAAAGCTGGTATTTCCAAGAAAGAGACTGCAAGTGGGGAAGAGTGGCTGGACCATGGAGGGCCAGCTCTGAATCCAAAAGTCCTCTGCTATTTGGGGCTCTCTACTAATTATGGCTGCACAACCATGCTGCTGAGCCTTAGGCAAAGACACAGGACACCTTTTTGGTTCCTGATCATGGCAAAGACCTGTCTGAAACAGTCAAACTAAACTTTACTAGAAATAGGTTGGCCTCTGCATCTGTGGCATCTGACTTGCAAGGTGTAAGGCCT